TATATATATATATATATACATACATATATATATGTATGTATATATATATATATATATATGTATGTATATATATATATATATATATCTCCTACCGCTTCTGTTTCTCTGGAGAATGCTGACTAATACACTTTAACTCCCAGGAATATTTGCAGTCCGTTTTTAAGCCATAGGAATAAATTACTGCTGTTGGACTTTCAGCCTTCAGTAAAAGAAGTGGTGGAGTCCAGGGCTGAGAGTCCTTTGGTTGCTTCCCTAGTGATACCCCATGGGGATCTGCCTCATTCATTAGTAATTGAGGGGCCCATGGGGCTTTAGTGGATGGAGCGTGGGCTCTGGTGCTGGCAAGTTGTGTAACCGCCTCATAGAAGTGGGATAAGGATGCCCAGTTGTGTGTAAGCAGCTGTGCCTGGGACATGCTCAGTCACGATTAGTTTGTTTCTTCTCCTTGATGTTGGTCCAAAACCCAGAGCATGCAGCAGTAGCATGGTCAGTGTTGTTTGCTTTTCAGAATTCTCCTGGAAAATTGCAAAAAGTCCAGTTTCATGGGCACATGCCCTGTTGCCCTCTGAACTCCATTCAGCCTGCACCCGGGGGTGACCTTCAGCCGGAGGAAAACAAATTTCCTTGAAGCACTGGTCCGTTGGTCTAGGGAAGCCGAGGGCCTGCCACCTTTGGAAATGGGAGCAGCATGTCTCACAGTGATCCCGAGTTTCCTGGGCTCCTTCCCCGGGCTCTGGTTGGGCAATCTGGGGCAGGGCGTTGTGTGAGTGTGAGAGTGTGTGTGTGTGCATGTGCGTGCATGTGTGTGTGCGTGCGTGTGTGCATGTGTGTGTGGTTTGAGAGCTGCTGGGATCATCCTTCCTCAGATCCTTCTACAAAGTACTTTGGGAACCAGAGTCAAAGCAGCTGCGTCCTTTGCTTCTCTCTTTCCTGCCAAGATCATGCAGGCACCGTGCCAAGCGACCCCACTGTCACCCACCGGAGGGTGTGTGGGGGATGCCCATGGAGAAGAGCCGTGTGCTGCAGGGTTGTGGGGCACAGAGCAGGGCTGCCTCCCCCACACCGTGGGGGCCCAGTGCCCGACCGAATCCATCCTCCCATGGAGGAAGAATGTGGGGAAGAGGACACCAATGTCCTTCCCCCTTCTGTTTTATTAAATAATGTTTGCTGTTATTTAGAATGTTTACATATTTGCAAATATCTTCAGATCTTTGCTGAAGAGAGACTGTTGTATGAGATGCAACTGGGGGTTTGTTGGTTTTTAGAAGAGGTGCTGGTTTTATGAATGAGTCTTTCTAGAATGACTTTTGGGTTATTAAATAACAGGAGAATGAGCCAGAGACCTGTAAACGAGATGCTACCTAAGGACCAGGTGGAAAGAAGTGATTTTTATTAAAACAGAAGAGGGATCACGTGATTTGAGCAGGGAGCCCCTTGGTGTGCTGGGCTTTGGATGGGGGACTCTGGAGGGACAGGGGAGATAAGGGCTGTCTGGGGGAAGGTCCTGAGAAGGAGGGTAGGAGACCACTGTGGAGAATGCAGTTCCAACCAGAACTGTCTGAAGCCCTGTCCAAGAAGACTCAATGTTATTAGGGCTAGGACTAAATGGTTGCTAGCCAACTTGGGGATCTGACAGTTTGAAACATAAAAAAGACATGGTAAGGTCACTAGAGAAATTCCTGTTTAGTCTTAAAAGCAAGCACAGTTGTCTTTCTCCCGAGCTCTCGGTGCGTTTGTAACTCGTGGGCACCAGAACTGAGTAGCGCGTAGAGCCTCTAAGCCGTGGCCCACCCACAGCAGGTGCATATTTCTGGCTGGCTGTATGCACACATATGGTGCCCATTAATTGCTTTATCTTCCTTTTCTTGCCTCCCCCTGTGCAGCATTTAGGGACCATTTCACGGGCATTGGATATTGTTACTCTGCGGATTTAGATGCAAAACCAATGGAACTTGAGTGCGTAAATCTTCTCCCGTAGGAAAGAACTTTTCCCTTTGTAACTGAAGAAAGCCTGACTAAAGCTTACTAATGACTGGGATTAGCAACGTCCATTAGTAATTTTTCAAGGTACATGAGCAGAAAAAAATAGTGATTATGGAAGCCAAGGCTCAGAACCATCAAGCGTATGTTGGTCATTTACTTTGACAGGCATAATTCAGGTTCAATTTATTTCTGGGTAAACTCCCATGGCACCGTAACCAGATCACTCTGGGCTGGAGGATGGGCTGAGGAGGAGGAAAAAGCCCCACTTTCCTTTTGGTTTACTCTTAGCTCTTCCTCATTTGTTTTTTTGGACCCTAGTATCTCTTTGCATTTTTAAATTCAGATGCACAGAACGGTTGCTCTTAGGGCTACGTGAGATTGCAGAACGGCCGCCTTGTACTCACTTCTGCCATGTTGCTTCCATTGAGATTGAGGGTAGCATGTAGCAAAGTAAAGGACCGCATGCAGGGGGTGCCTATTGTGGAGGAGGAAGCCCAGGCGGGCGCCGCAGTCAGGCCGGGCAGGTGGCGGGTGGAGGACCAGAGCCCAGAACCTGCCTGGCTTTGGGGACAGGCACGACGCTGCATGTTAGTTTAGCAGAAGCTGTGGCGGCACAAGCAGTGGCCAAGTGGCCTTCGGTGGCCCTGCAGC